GTGATTTAAAACTTTTATAAAAGAGTGAGTTAGTTGTCCCCCCAAAAAGGAGGGCTTCTCTGAGGAAAGTCATTAAGAGATGAATTTTTGGTCTCCTGTTTGCTTTTGCATTTTAAGGTTGGTTAATATCAAGCCTTATGTCCCTTTTCTTTACAATATCTGTAATTATCTCTATCTATGGAAGTTTTAGAGGGAGCAGATTGTCTTGGCTTGTTTCCTTCAAATTAAGTTGTAAAGTCTTGAATTTGCATTGTTTTGATTTGACCAAAATGCAACAGAGTCCTTGTGATGTTGAGCTAGTGTATGTATTTCAGAGAGAAATCACCTCACTAATTTATATTATGTTTTTGTAAATCCTCACCTGAGGATATTTTTCCATTGATTTTTAGACAGAGTGGAAGAGAGAGGGAAAGACAGAGAGAAATATGATGTGAGAGAAACAGAACGATTGGTTGCCTCCTTCATAGTTTCTTCCTGCCCCCTACCAGAGCCTGGGTGGGCGAGGAGCCTGCAACCGAGGTACGTGCCCTTGACCAGAATCAAACCAGGACCCTTTGGTCCACAGGCTGATGCTTATCCACTGTGCCAAACCAGATAGGGCTGTAAAATGTTTTGAATACTCTCTCTAATTTCTGGTCATATCCTTAATGAAGCTAGTGACTAAGGTGGAAACTGTTCAGTCATTTAGAGTCAGACCAGAGTAGTCCTTCCAAACATTTTCTAAACTATTTCTAAAGTTAGAGACAGATTAATCTCTTTGTATTCTGCAATCTTTTATCTTTGAGCAATCAATTTTTAAAAAAATGTATTTTTATTGATTTCAGAGAGGAAGGGAGAGGGAGAGATAGAAACAAACTGACGAGAGAGAATCACCAATTGGCTGCCTCCTGCACACCCCCCACTGGGGATTGAGCCCACAACCTGGACATGTGCCCTTGACTGGAATCGAACCTGGGACCCTTCAGTCCAAAGGCCAACACTCTCTCCACTGAGCCAAACCGGCCAGAGCTGACCAATCAATTTTTGAAGGAAGACAGTGGGAATGGATTCTAAAAGTCCTTTCCCCTAAGGCAGCGGTTCTCAACCTGTGGGTCGCGACCCCTTTGGGGGTCGAATGACCCTTTCACAGGGGTTGCCTAAGACCATTGGAAAACACATATATAATTACATATTGTTTTTGTGATTGATCACTATGCTTTAATTATGTTCAATTTGTAACAATGAAAATACATCCTGCATATCAGATATTTACATTACGATTCATAACAGTAGCAAAATTACAGTTATGAAGTAGCAACTAAAATAATTTTATGGTTGGAGGTTACCACAACATGAGGAACTGTATTAAAGGGTCGCGGCATTAGGAAGGTTGAGAACCACTGCCCTAAGGTGTTAGCCTGTATGTAAGCCTCAAGGTGCTCTAACTTCTTTGAAGTTCCTCTTGAAGAGTGGCCCATTTGGCTTTTCAAACAATAAAGTGGGATCTCTGGGACCCATTAGGAGTGGCACAAGTTGTTATAAATCATGGGTCCCAAGAGAATATATCCTGAAAATCAGTCTGAATTGATTACTAGATTCTTCCCTATTTTTATGGAGGTCCAGAAAGACTTTAACAATAAAATGTAGATATGAGTGAGGTCAAGGTGTTACCACACAGAGACTGGCCTGTAGTGTGTGGGCTCTTAACTTGTATAGGAAAGATTTCAGATCATGAGTCTAGGTGATTTTGAGAGTATGTTTATTAAAGCTGGGGACAGTGAAACAAAGGAAGGACGTAGGACAGAAGAAACAACAGGAGAGAGCCTAGGCGGTGCTCTGCTTTGGCTCTCTAGAATTGTTATAGGAAAGAAGTGAGCTTAGGTTGGGTTGCTTTGGCTCACTGGGAAGTCAGAGAAAAGAGGGCCTTGGCAATAGGATCAGGGGGTTAACTTGGGACAAGCGGCCACTGCCCACTGCTCTTCTGCTTGCAAGTCTCCTGGGGCCATTAGAGTTTAGGACAGCCGTGGGCAAACTACGGCCCGCGGGCCGGATCTGGCCCGTTTGAAATGAATAAAACTAAAAAAAAAAAAGACCGTACCCTTTTATGTAATGATGTTTACTTTGAATTTATATTAGTTCACACAAACACTCCATCCATGCTTTTGTTCCGGCCCTCCGGTCCAGTTTAAGAACCCATTGTGGCCCTCGAGTCAAAAAGTTTGCCCACCCCTGGTTTAGGAGGAAGTAAAAAGTTCATGCCCAGAAAGGGGCATGGGAGTGCTCTAGAGTGAGCCATACTGAATCTTTGTCCTGAGGAGTTTTATCTTGTTTTTTCCCCCCTGCAAGTGAGAATCTTAGGGGAGGGTTTTAGCAGAATATTTATCAATTTTCCAGGTGCGTTTTTAATATGCTGGTGCATCAAAATGAGTGTATAGGGGAGTGTTTGGATTATTCTTTGGTCTGTTTTACTGTTTTAGTTTTATCTTGGGCCTGTCTCGCTCTAATGGGGTTTTTGTTATCTGTTACTCCGACTTTATTTGTCCTTAGATTTAGCTGACACAAATGGCACTGATTGAGTCTTTGTTCTCTATTTCCAAGACAAGGATGATTTAAGCTATGTATTCTCTGGTTAGGGAGGGGAGGTATAAACCATTGGCTCTCAAGTGTCCTTGGTTAGGGGAGATAAGGTCTTGCTATTTACTAGCTGGCTGAAAGTTGTTCAAATTGGCTTGTTGAATTTTCTTGTCTCAGTTTCCCTATTCCACTTGCCCAGGGATTTTCCTTGCTTCTGACTATTTTTCCACAAAGGATTAAAGAATACCTGCTCGGGTGGGTGCTCAGGTCATTGACCTTCCCTCACAGGTTGGGAAGGACTAATAATAAGGGTCCTTATTATTGGAAGTTGGGGGCAAAGTACTTTCATGGAGGCAGGGAGGGGTAAAAAGAAGAATAGAGACCAAAGGAAGAAAAAGAGAATCCACAGAAAAGTAGGTAGGAGAAATGTCTTGATCACATGGTGCATTCAGGTGAGGACAGAGTCCTGAGATTAGAGGGTAAAAGAGACAGTCTTTAAGAGACTGTACAGTTTGAGGTAGACCGATGATATTTTATTTTCAGCCTCCTCATACCAGCAAAATAAACTGACCATTGATGAGAACAGATCTTAGAGCATTGAGATTTGAGGGCACCTTGTAAATAGACAGGCTTAGGGAAATTCCAAGCATCCCAAATGGACCATTAGAGTTGTAAGTTGTCCTCAGTAAAATCCTGGCATTTTTTGGAGATAATAATTTGAATTTTCACCTTAGCGGTGAAGCATATATTGGTGAGAATTCTGAACACCCTTGAAACGTGGGTTGAAAGTTTCCCATAATACTAAGGTTAAGCAATAGGTTGCAACAAAACCGAACCAAGAGATGGCTCTAGGGCAGTGGTTCTCAACCTTCCTAATGCCGCGACCCTTTAATACAGTTCCTCATGTTGTGGTGACCCCCAATTTCATTGTTACAAATTGAACATAGTTAAAGCATAGTGATCAATCACAAAAACAATATGTAATTATATATGTGTTTTCCAATGGTCTTAGGCGACCCCTGTGAAAGGGTCGTTCGACCCCCAAAGGGGTCGCGACCCACAGGTTGAGAACCGCTGCTCTAGGCAGTTCCTTACAAAGCTAAACATAGTCTTCCCATAGGATCCTTCAGTCACATTCCTTAGTATTTACCAAAGGAGCTGAAAACTTATGTCCCGAAATAAAAGAGTGCATGAGTGTCTAGAGCAGGTTTATTCACAATTGCAAAATTCAAAGCAAACAAAATGCCATTTAGTAGGTGAGTGGATAAGTAAATTGTGGTATATCCATACAATGGAGTATTACTCACTAACAAAAAAGAAATAAGCTATCAAGCCATGAAAAGACAAGAGGAACCTGAAATGAGTATTGCTAAGGGAACGAAGATATCTTAAAAGACTACACACCAGTCCTAGCTGGTTTGGCTTAGTGCATAGAGCAGTGGCTGTGGACTGAAGGGTCTCAGATTCAATTCCAGCAAAGGGCTTGCTTGCAGGCTTGATCTCCTGCCACCATCCGAGGCAACCAGTCAATGTGTTTCTTTCACATCAATGTTTTTGTTTGTTTGTTTGTTTTTCCCTCTCTCTCCCCTTCCCTTCCACACTCTCTAAAAAAATCAATGAAAAAATATCCTTGGGTGAGGATTAATTTTTTAAAAAAATTTTTTTTCCTTATAGATCCATGATTTCAAATGAGTGGGTACTTCATTTTTCATAGATGCTATAAGAAAAGCTAAAACACGGAAACTTTAGGAACTGTGCAAGTACTTATTAATTATTCTACTAATATATACGAACAAATATGTACTCAGAGAATCCTATGTATCCTATGCAATTTGTCTCATTTTAAAAAATATGTTTTTAGCCCTAGCTGGTTTGGCTCAGTGGATAGAGAGTCAGACTGAGGACTGAAGGGTCCTGGGTTGAATTCCGGTCAAGGGCATATGTCCGGGTTGCGGGCTCGATCTCCAGTCGGGGGCATAGGGGAGGCAGCCGATCAATGATTCTATCTCATCATTGAAGTTTCTATCTCTCTCTTCCTCTCTGAAATCAAGAAAAATGTATATTAAAAATATGTTTTTATTTATATTAGAGAGGAAGGGAGAGGGGGAGAAAGATAGAAACATCCTGATCGGTTGCCTCCTGCATGCCCGTGACTGGGGATCGAGCCCACAACCCGGGAATGTGACCTTGACCGGAATCCAAACCCCGAACCTTCAGTCCTCAGGCCGACCCTCTAGCCACTGAGTCACCCCGCTACTAGGGACCAAGCCCGCAACCCTGGCTGTGCCCTGACCGGGAATCGCACTGGTGACCTCTCGGTTCCCGGGTCTAGGATCAACCACTGAACACAGCGGCCGGGCTCATTTAATCTTAGAAGAACACTATGAGAGAGAAGGCAAACAATTAATAAATACTAGAACGGGAGCCTAATTTGCATTCCAAACTCAAAGTTCTACCATAAGATGAAATCGGAATCGGGAAGAATCAGTTATTTTTAATTTCGTCAGCTGAAACAATGAACGGCAGATAAATCTCGCGATACTATGGAAACTACTACTCCCGGCATGCCACGCCGCTTCTGTACATGAGCCTATGCCTGTAGGTCTGGAGGACCCGGCATGCCTCGAGGCGCGAAAGGCCACCTGGGCATCGTAGTTCTCCTGGACGCCTATAGGTACTGCCGTGCCAGCGCGGCGGCGGCGGCGGCTTTCCGTGTCAGCCTGCGGTTCTGTGGGCGAGCTGAGGCAGAGGAAGGGCGTGGAACTGGAAGCGGGTGAGTTGGCGCGGTCTACGCGGTAAAGGCAGGTGGCACCTCGGCACAGGGCTGAGTCAAGTAAATGGACTCGTGTGGTTGTCTCTCCGGAGACACCGTTATCGTTGCGCCCGCAACAGCAGGGTGAGGAGAAGCCGGAGCCCGGCCCTAGCCTAGCGCCCGCTCTCGCCCTCAGCGCCCGCCGCCATCTCCACCATGCAGTCCCGGGAAGATGCCCCGCGCTCCCGCCGCCTCGCCAGTCCCCGTGGTGGCAAGCGGCCCAAGAGGATTCACAAGCCGACGGTTTCGGCCTTCTTCACGGGCCCGGAGGAGCTGAAGGACGCGGCCCACTCTGCAGCCCTGCTGGCTCAGCTCAAGTCCTTCTATGACTCTCGGCTGCTGTGTGATGTGACCATCGAGGTGGTGACGCCTGGCAGTGGGCCTGGCACGGGCCGCCTTTTCTCCTGCAACCGGAACGTGCTGGCTGCCGCCTGCCCCTACTTCAAGAGCATGTTCACCGGCGGCATGTACGAGAGCCAGCAGGCGAACGTGACCATGCATGACGTGGATGCCGAGTCCTTTGAGGTGCTGGTCGAATACTGCTACACCGGTCGCGTGTCCCTGAGTGAGGCCAACGTGGAACGCCTTTACGCGGCCTCCGACATGTTGCAGCTCGAGTATGTGCGGGAAGCCTGTGCTTCCTTCCTAGCCCGCCGCCTGGACCTGGCTAACTGCACCGCCATCCTCAAGTTCGCTGATGCCTTTGGCCATCGCAAGCTGCGCTCACAGGCCCAGTCCTTCATAGCCCACAACTTCAAGCAGCTCAGCCAGATGGGTCCGATTCGGGAGGAGACTCTGGCAGATCTGACCCTGGCCCAGCTGCTGGCTGTCCTGCGCCAGGATTGTCTAAACATAGAGCATGAGCAGACCGTGTGTCACGTTGCCATGCAGTGGTTGGAGGCGGCTCCCAAGGAGCGGGGTCCCAGCGCTGCGGAAGTCTTCAAGTGTGTCCGCTGGACACATTTCGCTGATGAAGATCAGGATTACCTGGAAGGGCTGTTGACTAAGCCCCTTGTGAAGAAGTACTGTCTGGACCTTATTGAAGGGGCTCTGCAGATGCGATATGGTGACATGATGTACAAGTCTGTGGTGGCAAAGCCAGACGGCAGCAGCAGCAGCAGCTCTGCTGTATACGCAGCAGAAAATCCACCCCAGAGGCTGGGTGTGTGTGCCAAGAAGATGGTGATTTTCTTTGGTCACCCTAGAGATCCCTTTCTGTGCTGTGACCCCTATTCTGGGGATATTTACAAAGTGCCCTCACCTTTGACCTGCCTTGCTCACACTAGAACTGTAACCACCTTAGCCGTCTGTATCTCTCCGGACCATGACATCTATCTAGCTGCCCAGCCCAGGAAAGACCTCTGGGTGTATAAACCAGCCCAGAATAGTTGGCAGCAACTTGCAGATCGCTTGCTCTGTCGTGAGGGCATGGATGTGGCCTACCTCAATGGCTACATTTACATCTTGGGTGGGCGAGACCCTATTACTGGACTTAAATTGAAGGAAGTGGAATGCTACAGTGTTCAGAGGAATCAGTGGGCACTGGTGGCTCCACTACCCCATTCTTTTATCTCCTTTGACCTAATGGTAATTCAGAACTACCTTTATGCTCTCAACAGTAAGCGCATGTTCTGCTATGATCCTAACCACAATATGTGGCTGAAGTGTGTTTCTCTTAAGCGCCATGACTTTCAAGAAGCCTGTGTCTTCAATGATGAGATCTATTGTATCTGTGACATCCCAGTCATGAAGGTCTACAATCCAGTGAGAGGAGAATGGAGGCAGATTAATAATATTCCTTTGGTGTCAGAGACCAGCAACTACCGGATCATCAATCATGACCAAAAACTGTTGCTGATTACCTCACGCACCCCACAATGGAAAAAGAACCGAGTGACGGTGTATGAATATGACATTAGTGGAGACCAGTGGATTAATATTGGTACCACATTAGGCCTCTTCCAATTTGATTCCAACTTTTTCTGCCTCTCAGCTCGTGTTTATCCTTCCTGTCTTGAGCCTGGTCAGAGTTTCCTCACTGAGGAAGAGGAAATACCAAGTGAATCTAGTACTGAATGGGATTTAGGTGGATTCAGTGAGCTAGATTCTGAGTCAGGAAGTTCAAGTTCTTTATCTGATGATGATTTGTGGGTACAGGTAGCACCTCAGTGAAATGCACAGGATCAGCAGGGTTTGTTATAGATAGGTTGAAACACTAAGGTATTTTTATTGCTTTGGAAAGTATCTAAAAGATAGACCCTTTCCCTTTACTGGAAAAAAAGTTGATTAATTTCAGGTTTTCTTTAGAAAGGGTATTATTTGAAATACTAATGTAATTTAAGGTTAGAGAATTTAAGCACTCCAAAAATAAACCTATTTAATAATTTACTGTTCTAAAAATCCAATATTGTTTGGTTATTTAATATGTCTATATTTGACTATGATAATTTTGCCTTCCACTCTGTTTAGTGCCACAAGTACAGTAACTGGAATTTTAATTTTTAAAATAGCTGGATAGGGATCACTAGATAGGGTTTTGAAAGCATATATTTTTCTTCAGAACAGTGTAGTAGAATTCCAAAACTTTAAACTAGTATGTTTATACAACATGTGTTCTAACTTAAATATAATCTGCTAAATTTTAGTTATTTCCTCCCCTTTCATGAAGGAAAAAGATGCATATATGTTTAATGTGACTGAATGATTATTTATAATGTGAAGGAATGTAATACTGTACAGAATGGCCATAAGCTCACTGGTATAAAAACAACAAAAAACCCCCACAGGATTCTACTGTTGGAAAAGAAATTTCAGTTTTAAATTTGTAATATAAAATGTGTATTTGCAAATAGTGACCAAGTTTCCATCTAAAAAGAATTCCATTCTAGCAGTGTCACTAATCATCTACAAAACTTAAAAAACAAACAAAAACAAAACCCCAGTAACTTGCTTTGTAGGTTCATGTGTTTTATCTATACTTGGTACATGCTTCATTGATTCAGAGGAACAATCCTTTTGTCCATTGGATGTGATTGTGTAAACTTTTATTCATTGTCTTAAAAAGTTATTGTGATTCTTAAAATATTTTGACTGTATAGTTTTGGTGTTCAGCTTACAAGATTTGTCAGCAAGATTTGATTATTCTTTACTGTTTTGTGAGGTAATATTGGTTTTGAAAATATGTATAAGCTAAGGACAGTATTTTATTGATTAGTAGTTATTGTGTCTATCAACTATAAAATCAAGTGCCGGCAAAGAACTTTAAAACTTTAAGTTTTAAGTATAGAATTGTTTTGTGTAGCACTGAAATATTGTCAGTTTTGTAAGTCACTAAATGTTATTAGTAGCTTAAAGGTATTTTTGTATTAAAAGTTTACAGTTAAATAACATACGTGGATGATGGCTTTTGGGGCCAGTAGTGAAAGTATATTCATCTAAAATATTTCCCTAAGCAGTGGAATATATGGTTCTTTTATTAGGGTATTTGTATCTGTTCTGAGTTTCTCTGTGAATTAATGCTTTAGTCTTTGTTTCTGTCACTATGTAAGGAAAAGTCCAGAAGTAGACTAAATCACATAAAACTGACATTGTTAAATACCAGAAAATATAAATGCTTACCTCTTAAGATTTACTAGATATTGTTGTCATTATTCATAATAAATGACCAGATGCTTATAGTGTATAAAATTACCTATACCCAATTAGCATTAGCTTCCTAAATCTTTATTTAATAACATGCTAATTCCTATTTGCTAGTGACAGAATGCTAACATTTCATACACCGTGGCAGAATACTAAGGCATGTGCTCTCTCAGGTGGGAAACAGAATTTTTGAATGATATACTATCATATGAAAATAAAGAGAGGGAGACAGGCAAGTTTTTAAAAAAAAGTATTCGGAGGCATTTTTATGGGCCATTTGAAGATTTTGCAGAACATTCCTGTTTATTTTTGATGAAATAAGATACTTGTCTTAGCAGTATGTGTTCCTTCAAAAGGTCAGTTATGCTTTCAGTTGCCTAAGGCTAAATTTTGTTCCATTTGATATCAGGGTTGTTCTAAGCACTGTACTTAACACAAAGCCCTTTCTCAGTAGTTTTTTTTTTTTCCAACTTTTTCTTCACCAGTGACTTCTTTTGATAGCTTTCTGTTTTTTCATGTTGAAAAAGGACAATGGATAATTCATCCAAATTATTCATCTATAGTTTATATAAGACAAATTCTCCAGGTTGCCATTTTCAACCTTTCAGTTAAAGCCTAAGCTAAATGGTAGTAATATCTTTGTTTACAAAGAGGTTTTCTTAGGAAGAATTTTGGTTTCGTGATATATTTGTGAATTAGGGAATAGATGTTAATCATTATTTTATAGATAAGTGATTTGTATGTGATTAGTAACAAATAAAACTGGTATTAAATCCCAGACTTTCTGACTTTTTAATTCGGTGTTTCTGCTGAAAGTATGCAACACTTGCTTGTGCAGTGAATGACATAACTAACAGTGTTGAAATCCCTTTTTGATAGAAAAGCATCCTTGCCTCAGTTTTCCAATTAATCATCACAACTTTTAGCAAATTCTCGATATAATGTTGTTTGCAGGACTACTATTTATAAGATTTAGAGTAACCGTAATTATTTTTTTATCTGTTCCCATAATCTGAAAAGCTCAAAGAGTCCAAATTTTTGCACGTTCTTTTTAGTTAAAATAATAAATGGCATTATGGTTCTAAAAGGATGAAGTAGAAATTAATTTAGCAATAAGCTTGTCTATATATGGATTAGAGATTGAAATTAAATAGCTCTTTTTATCATTTTTAATTGAGCTGGAATTAAAAAATTATCTGTACCTGATCTTGTTGAGAATATGGGGATAGCTTTTTTTTTTTAATCACTTGGGGATATACATTTATCTTTAGAGAAAGGGGGGAAGGGAGGGAAGGAGGGAGGGAGAGAGAGAGAGAGAAATACATCGACTGGTTGCCTCCTGCCCATGCCCTGTCCGGGGCCGGGGATAGGACCTGCAACTGAGGTACATGTTCTTGACTGGGAATAGAACCCACTACCCTTGGGTCCACAGGCTGACACTCTAACCACTGAGATAAACCAGCCAGGGCTCTGGGGAAAGCTTTTGATCCATTCCCCCCAAAGGCATATATTCATAATTTTATATTTTCAATTATTTATGACACTTTTGAAGCTCATCAGACTCAAGGTAAGAGCACTTGTGACAGTCTCTTCTTCCCATACCTGTTTAAAAACTTCTACACACTTTTCATTATTCTAATTAACTTTAAAGGAACATTTATTTAGTAAATTTGATAAAGCAGGATAGTATTAAGAGGCAGAATTTATAGAAAATGTGACTACCACTAGAATCCCAAGAGAATTAATGTTATTTCTTGAACCTAGAGGGTTTAATAATCAATTTAATAATAATATAAAAATCAATTTAGCCCTGACCGGTTTGGCTCAGTGGATAGAGCATTGGCCTGCGGACTGAAGGGTCCCAGGTTCGATTCCGGTCAAGGGCATGTACTTGGTTGTGGGCACATCCCCGGTGGGGAGTGTGCAGGAGGCTGCTGATCGATGTTTCTCTCTCATCGATGTTTCTAGCTCTCTATCCCTCTCCCTTCCTCTCTGTAAAAAAATCAATAAATATATATATATTTTAAATCAGTTTAATAAAAATATAAAAAATTTAATAATAACAAAATAAAAGATCCTGTTCACAAAAGCTGCCAAACCTCAATACCATGGAGGCAATAGGTTTCATGCAGGATAGGGAGAAGGACCACCTCCTTGACTCTGAACCAGTTGTCGCCTGGGTCTGTTTCATCAAACTTCCATTCCTCACATCTTTAACTTTGGAGACTCAATGTGGTCCTAGGCACAGGAAGAGTGGGGAACAGATGTTTTGTATAACATTTCATCTATATCTGAAATATATTTTCTCTTAAAACAACCTACCCTGTGGGGTGTCACCTACCTCTAATGGAGTCAAACTTTTACATTCTTCCCTCCAAAGCTAAAATTGCTGCTTACAGCCACCATATCTCAATTAAGAATATTATTTTTGGATACACTTTGTTAATTCTGGGAACAGTTAAAAAGGACTTACTGTAAATTTCAGGCAAAGTATTTCTTCCAAAACAGATGTGTTTTTGCCTTAAAGAAAGAGTACAGCCAGGACTCTCAGTTGTAAGCAATATTACCTTAATTTAGATTTTAAGAAAGTAAAATAGAATTTTTTGCCCATTGTAACTGAAAAAATCCAGCAATGGCACTCATTCCAGGCACAGCCTGAACTAGAATCTCAGTGACTTCAGGGATTTCTTTGTACAGGGAAGATACCACAGATGCTTTCTCTCACCTTATACATTAGTTAGGATTCAGGTGTGGTTATATATACAGAGGCCCTGTAGTTGTTTTAATAAGACAGACTTTCCTGATAGAAAAATTCAATCCATTATGTTGACTCTGATCTAGAAAGTCAACTGAGACCAGGCTTTTCCTGTTTTCCTGTTCTGCTATCCTCAGGGTATTGTCCTGGTCTACATGGTACAAGCTGGTTCACCATCATGTTCATATTCCAGTCATCAGGAAGAAGAGGAGAGGGCATGACACTTCCCTATAAGGGAAGTTGTACACGTCACTTCCAGTCACGTGACATTGGTCAAATCTTAACTACAATGGCCACACCTTGTTGCAAAAGTGCATGGGAGGCACAGTTTTATTTTGAGTCAACATGTATATAGTTAAAATTCAGGGATTTCTTCTTATAGAATGGGGGAGAAAGACTATTAGGTTAAATAGTTGGTTCAATCTGACATTGCTATTTAACCATGTGTCAGGCCAGATTTTATCACATGGCAGCCAAAATGATAACACCATCTCAGGGGTTATTGCAGTTGACACAACATACACCAGGCTTCCCACCCTGGAAAGACTTCTGGAGCTCCCTGGGCTCCTGCTGTTGCTCTGTACAGAAAAGGCAAGGGCAGTTGATCTTGTTTTGATTAAATAACAAAACTAATTGCATACTGGTACCTTAGATCATGAGCCAAAGTCTAGTCTTGTCATTATATCATGGAATGTTCCAAGATTTTTAAAAAATTGACTTCAGAGAGGGAGAGAGAGGTAGAAACATCAATGATGAGAGAATCATTGAGCAGCTACCTCCTGCATGCCCCCCAGTGGGGGTTGAGCCCACAACCCGGGCATAGGCCCTGACCCGGAATCAAACCGTGATTTCCTGGTTCATAGGTTGATGCTCAACCACTGAGCCATGCCAGCTAGCGACAAGATTTTTAATATATACTATGACTGGGTTCTTCTCCATAGTCTATATATATACTGCTTATTTAGTGTCATAGTCCCATTACTTTCTTTTCTGTATGGCCTTCTAACATGCTGGAATTACTCAGTTTATCGATTTGTTTGCTCTTTATTATTTGTCTTCTGCACTAACTCCATCATGGAGGGATGTACTACATCTGTCTTTTCCACAGGTTCTAACATAGTGCCAGGCACAGCAGAGGCGTTTGATGAATATTTGTTGAACAAAGAAATAAATGTATTTGGTGCTTGCTTGCACTTATATGAGAAGCCACTGCATTTAGAGCTCTCATCATCCTGTCAATTTTCCAGCTTTGAAGGAGAGCTATTATTAAACTCTTTTGCTTGGTTGTCATAGCAACCCTGTGGTCTCCTGAGCTACAGGTTATTTCTAATGGGCACATTCTGCCAGACTACCAAACACTCAGTGTTTTCAATTATGGGATAATGATGCTATTATAAATCACATTTCTCAAAGTATACATTTCTCTGTCTTTTATAAAGATGTAAAATTAGAAAGTAAATATATTCAAATCAATGCAAGCTAGGGGAAATAAAGAGGTATGACACACATCTCTGTTCTCAACCCTTATATATTCCTTCAAGTTCCAACCCTCTCAAAAGCACCTGTGAATTCAGTTGGGTTTTTGGCCATGTTTTAAAGGAAGTTTTGAAAGCTAATTGCTACAATACAACCTCTAAAGAGCTCCGTTACAGCTGAAATATTTTGTCTTTTTCTCCTCCTTGCTCATTTATTAAATTTTATGTTAAACCAGCAAATAATAGTAGTGTTACAAAAATTTAGATTTGCTCTGAAAAGATCCAAAATCAGGTACATCCCTCCCCCATTCCTTCCACTCACATTTTAGTGGCAGGAAGTAAGAAAGGTTTTGTTAAACTGGATTAGTTATCATAGAAAACTCATTATTATCAGTTCAATAAAACAGGGTGTATCTGGGCCATTCAATCAGCCATGAATGTAGTTTTTAAAAGGAAGAGTCTATAAGTGATTTTACATGTATGTTATGCTGTATTTTCTCTTCTGTAGGTTTTGGTCACATGTACTGGGGAGAGTCAGGCACCACTCAGGTCCAAGGTAGATCCCATAACAAATACTTCATTATATCTTTCCTCTGTGCAGTTCTAATGCTTTTCTCGTACAATTGTAATACCCACAATTGCATACTTTATCTAAAATGAATTATATTGCAATTAACTTACCTGAGCTTTGACATTATAAAAACAGTAACTACATCAATACATTCAACCAACTTCAATAAATAATATATAACTGAAAGGAATATAAATCATTCAGAGAAAGACAAATACTATGACTTCACTTGTATGTGACATCTAAAGAACAATATAAACAAATAAATAGAACAGAAATAAACAAAATAGATATAGAGAACAGACCGATGGTTGCCAGAGGGAAGGGATATTGGGGTACTGGGTGAAAAAGGTGAAGAGATTGAGAAGTGCAGGTAGGTACTGGCAATATCAGGGGTACACTTTGTAAAGTATATGATTGTCTAACCACTATGTTGTACTAATACAAAATAATATTGAATGTAAAAAAGTTTAAAAACAAATCATATATAATGGGGACATTATCAGAGGACAAAGAAAAAGATAAAAAGAGATGGTATAGTGTGTAGTGTGTCAAGATTGAAGATTTTGGTACCTGAACCTTTGGGATACTTTTATTTATATATTTGTAAGAACTTCATTTTAGTCTTCTAGAAATCTCCATGCATTTTTATTCTTTTAAATAAGCAATGAAAAAAATAAAAATAATAAGCACTGAATATTACATAACATTAGGTCATATGTCAAACCTGTGAGATAGCCAAACCTAGATATATGCCTATTATTTTTGTTTTTTGTTTTTTTTTGCTAAAAGTATTACAAAGGGTATTACATATGTGTCCTATGCCTATTATTAAAACTTGAAAATAGCATAACAGAAGGTAAGGTTTTGCTAGGGCAAGGATCAGATGTTCAGCCATACAGGTTTTGCAACAATTGATTGACAAAGTCACCACATTACTAAGATGTCTACTATAGATGAAAAAGGAAATATAAACC